CAACCCCGCGCGCCAACAGGGCCCCCCACACTCAAGGGCGCGCGCGGGCCCCGAAAGGGAGGAGGCCGCGCGTGGCACGGGCAGGGGCCGACTCTGGGCTCTGTTCCCCATTCCTTCACCACTCACCCCCAATCCCCTCCAACCCGCTCCAGGCCTCGGACTCCGCACTGACCTGACAGGCCGAGACATGTTCGCTGTCGAAACAGGACCGAGTCGAGAAGCCAAAGACCAGGACCCCCCCCACCCCGCGCACTCGGCGCCCCACCCCCCCCAACTTCGGCCGATGGGGCCGCTGCCGCCGAACCCCGAGCTGCTGGCTTCTCAAACTCCGCCGCTCCTTGGTTCAGGCCCCTTAATCAGACGAGCCCCCCGCTCCCCCGTCTCTTCAAAATGGATGAATCAAACCAGCCGAAAATGCGCCAAAGCCACCGTGCAACCGAACCCACTAGGGCTTCCAGGCTCCGCCCCAACACGCCTGACCATTGGCGGCTTCTGCCAGATGCGTGGAGCTCATTAGTCCGTTTGAATCATCACGTCTTCCAAGCCCCGCCCCTCCCTCTGATAGGCTCCGCCTCCTCCGTGGGGTCCTGTTAGTCAAGATGCTTTGAGAGTGCATGGCCGCAAAACAAAAATGGTCGCGGCTCGGTTTGCACTCCGCCCCCTGGCTTCCACTCCGGAGTTGCAGATTCGTCTTGGGTCGCATCTTGGAACGACAAGAAAAAAAAATGTTACGGGGTTCAATATGGTTTAGTTTTAGTTTAATGATGTTTCATTTCGCCTGCTTTGGTAATTGTAGAAACTCCACTAATAGCAAAATCTGGGGGATAGGCGGCTGATTCGTCACTAAGGGGCTGTTTCAGAATTGGAGGGAAATTCCATAGGTTCAAATAATTTGACCTTAACTCCTCAAGCCCCTTTCCCTGACTTCGGCATGCTGCTGGAGGAGCGCCAGTTTCGTAATCAAGGAATAACTTAATCGCTATTTCCATTTTGTACCTGGAGAGCCACTTCAGGGTCATAAAAATCCCAGTCCTGAACTTTAGGATTTCAAGGAAAATTAATGGAGGGAGGTGGGGGGTGGGGTATGAATGATTAGGACCTTGAGCTCTGGGGCCATAAGGGATTTGGGTTTGAAACTCAGAGTCAGTCACTTCGTAGTTGTGTAACTTTGCCTGGCTGTGCCTCAGTTTTTCTCGCGTGTAAATGGGAAATCTATTGTAAACCTATATAAAAAGAGTGTGGACTTCAAGAGGTATTAGAATTAAATGAGCTGCCCTATGTAAATGAGCTGCCCTATGTAACTTCGTTAAATTCAATTTTTAAAAGATGACCCGATCCCTGGGCAGGGGTGGAAGGGTAGGCTCAAGACTTTAAAGCCAAATAACTAAGGGTAACTCAGATTATTCTATTTAAATCCATAAACAATTGTGGATACCTACAGCTCTCAGAGGCAGAATTCAGGATCCCTTTGGGAATGCCTAGGGTCTATACACCAATGTAAATAGACTTCAGTCCTTGCTACAGGCAGCCCGTTAATAACCAACTGAAAAGACACTCCATAAACAAACAAATCCTCCGCTATGTGCTTCCTAAAAGTCTCCCCTTATGAAATCTGGCTTTTCTAAAGGAAGAAAACAGCACAGTCCACCAGTGAAGTATTACAAACAGTATCTTCTGCCACTTCTAGTCACTTCTGAATGCTTTTTTTTTTTTTCTGTAGTGAGCGAATGGTTACATAAAATTTATTATTTTAAACATTTTAGACACACAGTTTAGTAACAACATGTACATTCATGCCATTGTGCAACCATCACCACCATCCCTCTCCAGAACTTTTTCATCTTCTCCAACAGACTCTCTACCCATTAAACATTAACTCCCCATTCTCTCTCTCCTAAGCTCCTGGCCAAAAACGATTCTACTTTCTGTCTGTATAAATTTGATTAGCTTAAAGACTTCATATAAATGGAATCCTAGTGTATTTGTCCTTTTATGATTGACTTATTTCACTTAGCATGTCTTCCAGCTTCACTCATGTTGTAGCATGTATTAAGATTTCCTCTATTTTAAAGACTTCATTGTACACATTTCATTTTGTTTACTCATTCAAATGTCAATGAATATTTGGGTATATTGTGAATAACACAGCTTTCAATCTAGATGTACAAATATTTCTCCCAGTTCCTAGTTTCAATTCCTTATGAGGTACATCCAGAAACAGAATTGCCAGGTCATATTATTAATTCTTTAATGTGGGGGGAAACTCTCTACCCTGTCTTCCAAGGCAGCTGCATCAATCTACCTTCCCACCAATAATGCACGAAGATACCGGTTTCTCCATCTCCATATCCTTGCCAATGTGTGTTAATCATATGTTTTTGAATGCGGCCATCCTTATGAGTGTCCAAATAGGTTTTGATGAAGTATACTGTCATCTGTGTTACTGTCAAAATGCCAGTGTAGAGCTCTGCCTAGTGGCACAACAGGTTAAAGTTCTAGCTACAATTCTAGCTAGCCACAGTCACTTCAGCATGAGTTCGATGCCCGGCCAGGGAGGTGACCCACATGGCACAGCTGACCTCTCTTGTCTCGCCTGCTGTTCTCCTCAGCAGTGTACTTTGTCAGTCTGTCTCTTCTGCTCCCCATTCTGTCTCTGGTGAATCCTCTCACCTCTGGCCTGTACCCCAGTTCTGCATGCATAAATAAATAAATCTTAAAAAAAAAAAAAAAGCCGGCCCTCCCTGGTGGCGCAGCAGGTTAAAGCACAGCACTGAGAATCTGAAGCCACTTCCGCATGAGTTCGATTCCCGCCTGCCCTGGAGGTGACCACAAGGCGCAGCAGACCTCTCCTGACCCGCCCACTGCTTCCCTCAGCAGTGTACTTCGTAGATCTGCCTGTTCTGCTCCCCACTCTGTCTCTGGTGAAGCCTCTCACCGCCCCTGAGCCTCTGGCCTGTATCCCAGTTCTGTATGCACAAATAAATAAATAAATTAAAAAAAAAAAAAGCCAGTGTAGAGGCTGAGGTAGTACAGTGAGCACAAATCACTTACTCTGTGCTGAGCACCTCTAGCTCTGTGACCTCCTGAATGCTGTCTTACTGGACACAGCTATTGTGTTGGCAAATATCATTACTTGGTATTGTTGCGAAGAGGCAAAGGAACTTATTTATTAGGCAATGAAAAGAAGAGACTGTAGTCAGCATGTCCAGGCAAGCGGAAGGTTCAAATCAGAGCTTCTAGTTTAGAGTTCAAGGCCAATATATAGATGGCTACTGGATGAAGGTGCTTCCTCCCCAAGACTAGGGCCCCACCTTACCTTTTTCCTTACCTCAGCTTCAGCTAATATTTCCCCTCCACTTGTATATTTATTCACACTCAGTATTTCAACAAACATTGTCTTTTAGGAAGAACACTTCCAATTCTAGACTTGAACTAACTTATTTTTTAGTAGGCAAGAAATATGTGGGCCTTTATTCTACAAGAGTCCTAGTGCTGTTTCCCTAGGTGCTAAGAGAATCAAGTTCACTTTCTTTAACCATTCCCAGTTGTTCTGTCCAGAGCACCTTTCTCAACCACAACTGCTTTGTTGGAAACAGAAAACACGGTAAGTTCACATAACAAAGAAACATATAAGAAGTAAGGTTTTTGAAGCAACATCAAATTAACCAGGGAGGGATAGTACACATACTAAAACTATGAGAAATTGTGAAACCAAAAAAGTTTCAGAAGACAAAAAAAGACAGTTATTTTTCTCTGACATTGCGATCCTAAGGACTTTAAAAAAATTTTAAAAAAGTTTATTTTTACATCATTTTGTGCCTTTTTCCATCTCACTTGCAATCCCCGTGGGCTTCCCATCACCAAATCACCCGTGTGCCATCACCATAGTCCAGTGCACTTCTCCCCCTCCCCAATTTTTATTCCATTTCCCACTCCACCCTCTAAGGACTTTTTAGCCTAACACTGAATTTCCCCTTTACTTTAGTTACATTTTGAGAAGTGGCCTTTTCTTTCTTCTCACACATGTTTAAGACAATAAGATATACTTAAGACAATATACTTGACAAAGACCCAGTTTCATTAGTTATTTTATAAAAATTTGTGAGCACTTTGTGGGCACCTCCAGTTCTGTGACTTCATGAAAATGAGCCAATCAGCACAAGAGACAGACATGGCTTCTGTGGACCATGGGTGTCCAGAGGTGCCTCTCTTTGAAGACCCAATCAGGAGTTTAAAAAAATTTCTTCCCTTCAATTTTTTTT